TGGGGGCAACAACATGGTGGCTGCCACACACACACAATGGTAGCCCCCTGGCCCTGGCAGCTGCTCCTGCCTAAAATTATGAAGTGTGTTGAGATAGATGGGCCAATAGTCCAAATTGGAAGAAGGCAGATTCTTATGTGCCCATTTTCCCCTAGTGCAAAAGTGCATGTTTCTATGTAAAGAAGAACGAAGGCTTTAATCTCAAGTCTGCTTACTAGGACTGCTTTGGTTTTTTTAATTTTATTGTTAATGTCAGTATAAAAGACAAGCTAAAGCAACAAACAGCAGGTCTAGACAGCAAAGAAGGCTGCAGACTCCTTCGCTAGTACTCTGCTCGCAGTACAATTCTGTCTCCTTCATACTAATTAAATAAAAACAGGTAAGAAGCTAAGTATTAGTTGTAACAATGCAATGAGTTTTTATTGTTTTGAAGCACTTTCTGTTGTGGCTTTCAATTAGAATGCAGCAGTTTCCTGGCTAATTACATTAATTCAGAGCCAATTCCTAGGTTAATATACAGACTTATTTATACTTTGGCACAGGGAGATGTGAACATATGAAGATGCCTTATCTGGAGTCAGGCTTCTGGCCCAGCTAGGCCAGGACTGTGCACTCTGCCTGGTAGACATTTTCTCATCCTTAAGATAAATTAACTGGAGAGGCCGGGGACTGAACCTGGGACATTCTGAAGGAAAAGCATGTGCTTTAGCACCAAGCTATAGCTCCTCACCAGGAATGGATGGCATAGATCAGTGTTTTTCTGATACACATGTTGGCAAATTGATACTGGGACTACCTTACAGAATAGATAAATCCTCATGCAGAAGAGTGGACTTTTTATGTACAAATGTATAATATGGGAGACTGTCTTTACAGAGAGAGAGCAAATGTTTTAGTACCCTCCAACATTTCTTCAATGAAAATAGGGGTGTCTCATTCCATAATAATAATTTTACTATTTATACCCGACACATCTTACTGGGTTGCCCCAGCCACTCTGGCCAGCTTCCAACATATAGAAAAACATAATAAAACACGAAACGTTGAAAAACTTTCCTGTACCTTCAGATGGCTCAGAGGTGGGATAATTCCATACCCTCCAACATTTCATCAGTGAAAATAGGGACATCCTAAGGAAAAGCTGGACATTCCGGGATCAAATAAGAAACTGGGATGGCTTCTCTAAATCATGGACATCCCTGGAAAATCGGGACACTTGGAGAGTCTGTATTTTGCATGCAAAAGGTCCCAGGATCGATTTTGGGCATATCTGGGAGTGAGTGAGAAAGACTTCTGTCTGCAACCCTGTAGAATCAAACCTGGGTGTCGCAAATGTGCTGCCCTCCAGAGGTTGTTGGACACCAACTCCCATCATTCCCAGCCAGCATGGCAAGTGGTCAAGGAGGATGGGAATTATAGCCCAGCAACTTCTGTGGGGAACCATGTTGGCTGACCCTGACATAGACCATACTGTATTGGATGGATCAATGGTCTGACTCAAGATAAGGCAGATTCTCTTGCCCCTTATATGTGCTCATTGTTAGATTAACTCATTGGCTGCTAGAATTATAGAGTACAAAATGGGGGGCCACCAGGGGGCGCATTGGAAGATGGCCAACAATAACATCTCTCCGACCCACACAAGGTAATTAAGAGGCTGATATGGGAGTATGCAGCCTCTCTTGCCCCCCCAAGGGAATGGGGGGGACTGCCTTGCCAGCTGTGTCCATAATTCACCCCCGGATTCGAAAGAAGGGGGTGAGAACACTTGGCACGAAGCCCTCGGGTGAGGTCGGCTCTCCCTGACGGTGTCTCTAATCGCGCACTGGTTCGCATTAGCTCGAAATATATAATTGGAAATATATAATTGGAAAGAAGCTAATGCACATACATCAAGTGAAGATCGGGAGTAAAGACTGCTGATTAATGGGATCTCTGTGAGCGGAGCGACGGGCTGGACAAATAAATCAAGTGAAGAATCATCATTAAAAGACTGGTATGTTGGAGTGAAACGGAAAGGGGGGGAGGAAAAAACTTTTCTTTTTTTTTCTTATGTGAGTACCAATAACACTCCCCTCCAAAGAGAGAAGAATTGTTGCAGGTTACTAATCACAAGCAGGAGTTAAGAACTGTGTGGAAATGAATTACTGATCAAAGAGAGGACTGGTGGAAACATCGGGGAATGGAAAGAAAATTTTATGACGCAGTTATAAATGGAGTCCCGTTAAGACAGGCTTGCCCATAGGAGGACGAGGGGGAGGAGGACCAGGGTCATTGGAATGTGAATGTATGGTTATCGGAATGTGATCTTGACCTGGCAGGACCCCCTGAGATATAGATTGGCAAGCCTGTGGAAATCAACGGACAGACTGTGGGAATGTTCTTTACGGAGGTGTGGAAATGGCGCCTGTCCTTTATGTGATATGACTCTTGGAGAGTGCAAAACCCACACAGGATATGTTTGTTTTCAACCCGCTTGTGAAGATGATCAGAGATCACAAAGAAAGGAATATATGATAACAAGAAGATGAGGAAAATAACAAAGAGACTATCTGGACAGAACTGGATAGAACTGTTTAATTAAAGCAGCAGCAAGAGTGAAGTTTGGATCCCTTTTTGGAGCTTGAAGTATGGGTACCCCAACAAGATTTTAAAAATCTGGCTGTATAATTTGGAACTAATGTGATTTGGAATTAATGTGATTTGATTGGCCTGTTAATAAAAATTATATTTTTTTAAAAAAGAATTATAGAGTACAAAATGGATTCTCCACATATCAAAAGCTCTTCAGCTGCTTGTTGCTCTGTGGATGGCATAGAGGAACTTACCAGTTTCTATATTGTTGTTATCTCATGGAAATCAATAAAATATTGATGCCCACCACACCAAGCTCCAAGCTGTGTGAGGCTCCAGGGGTTTCAGGAGCTTACTCAGGCTTCCGTTTCCTTGGAATGAAGGACAGTGGCGTCTGGGGTGTCTTTAGGATATATGGTGTATTTACAGAGATATGAAACCTGAGCGTATGATGGAAGAGCTCACAGCCCTAACTCCGCCAGAAGGTCTTGCTTCTCCTATAGACACAGCCTTGGATTCAAGCAGAAATCAGGCATGTCTCTCTCACTCTCAGCCCGCATCCTGCTTCTAGCCCAGCTCACACATACTAAATTCTGGCTTTTGTCCTTCTCACTACCAGCCAGGTGAGGAAGTGTACACACACAAGATTTTGAGCAAATACACACCTTCAAAAAACACTATATTTTTTCTCTGGATCGCCTTTTGGGAATGAGCTATATCAGATCTTTCAGGACCCAAAGTTGCCTTGCACTCGTCCTTCAGTATTTCTCCCCTGCTGGTGCAGCTGCACCAAAGTCAACATTATTTTAGAAAAGAAAAGAAATGAGACCGGAATCCTTAGAGGGGAGACTGCAAGTGTAAGGAAAGATTGTATAGAGAACAAGCAGAGATTGGTACTTGGGACATCAAAGGGCAAACTGTAATGAAATGAAGTATAAATGCACACCTGCATAAATACATAAATGTTCTTAAGGCTTTGTATTCAATAATTGTTATGCTTTTATTAATTTAAGCTTTTTACGCTGCTGCTTATGTGGTTTGGATTTTGTAAGCTGCCTTGAATATTTGCAGCACGGTAGGGAAAATCTATAAATAAGCTGATAAGGGTTGTTTCTGCAGCCACCTGGGACACTTAAGAGTTATTGGGTCAGTCATTAAAATAAGCACTGTGTTCATGACTGTCAATTGAGGTAATGGGGAATCTGTGTGTTGGAGAGGCCATGGGAATCAAGGTTATATCTTTTAGTTTCCCACTTTCACTTACAGGACTGGCCCAACACATTTTCCTTTCTAAGGTGGCCCCCGTCCTCGACACCACGCTGTCTTCCAATGCCTCACCACTGCTTGCTTGCTGCTCTGCCTGGTGCCTGATTTCTGCTCCCCCGAACAAATGCTGCAATGCAGCACCATCATCTTGCACCATGTGAGTAGAGCAATGCAGCTGCACTCACAGTGACCGCTGGGATACCTCTCTGCCCGCTTGCACAGTCATGGGCCTTCCCCAGCAGCGCTGTCTGTGACACATTGGGAGAAGGCAGCAAGCAAGGCCAGGCTAGCTACAGGAAAGCATCATTGTCAGAGGAGCAGTGGCTCAGGAGAATGGAAACAGTCAGGGGACTCAGGCAGCAGGACTGGGAGGAAGACCTCTGCATGCAACCGTCCAATGTGGCCTCCTCAGTCTGCCTGATTGTAGGGCTGGCCATCTGGGTTTACGAATGTATTTGGCATACTTCATACAAGCTAGATGCTGGCTTTAATACCATGCCATTTATCCCTGCTGGCACCAGGTCTTGCTGATTTGAGATCTAATACAGATTGCACTGAAGTCAAGGGCAGAATTTATATTGCTTTCAGGAGTCTTGAACCAGGCCCTTGAGGCTGAAAAAACAACAACAGCCATTCAGGGTGGATGGGTAGATGAAGAGGATCAGCTGTGAAAATCCTTTGCCTTGCAGTGAAGCAGAGATGGGTGAATGGACAGGAGAGCTTTTTACCCTGCAGGGGGACTAATCAGCTGAGCTGGATGGATATATGGAACAGGAAAAGAACTGAAAATATATGTGCTTTTGAGTGGAACTGGAAGAGACAGTGGGAACAAATACACTGAAAAACCAGGATTTTTCAGCATAGACAGGTATATATACTCAAACCAGTATCTCCCAGGATAATTTATGCATTCATTACCTTTTCGGGGTAGTTTACACAGCATTCATTTAAAACATCACAAAATTTAAACACACAAACACAATCAAAATTATAGACAATGCATAGAAAATCAATGCAAAGTAAAAGTTGTTTAAAAGATGTTACGCTGCTTAAACCACAATTATTTATTAATATTTGCTTTTCAAATACAAGTATTTGGGGATATAAATCATTAATATTTTTATGACAGTAGCCCAAGAGACCCCAGCCAAGACTTGGGACTTCTCTCTCTCTTTGTGTGTGTGTGTGTGTGTGTGTGTGCGTGCATGCATGCACGCACACACACACAATAAGAGAGAAAGTCCCTGTTCCAGGAATTTTGCCAGATGAACATCCTACTTGTAAGAACAGCTGACCACTCACCAAACCAGATCACCGAGGCTGACAAGACTGAGAAGTAGCAGATGGTACAAGGAAGAGCTTGTGCCATGCAAGCAGCCACCTTTTATAACAGGCTGGTCAGAGCCTAATTTGACCGACTTCCATGATCACACAGAAATAACACTTACAGGTCTGTGCCATTGCTCTAGGGATTCTAAACAACGATCCACAGGATACAACTGCATTAGAGAACCAAGGAAGCACTGACAAGACGGCAGCAAGGCCATTTGTTGCCTTCGTTGGTTCAATGCAGAGAAATAAAATTTACCAGGCTTGCATGTTGAGCATGCTGCTTTATGGAAGTTAGTCTTGGGCAACTTATAACCATCAGGAATGATGCTTCAACACCTTCCACATGTGCTGCATAAAGACGTTTTGGGGCACCACATGGCTGGATAGAGTCTCAAACAAAGCCCAGATTCTCCCAAGACTCTCCCAAGCCCAGATTCCAAGCATGTTCACAGAATGAAAGATGGCAGGATCCCCAAGGATGTGCTCTACGGAAAGCTGGCTTCAGGCTCAAGGCCCATTGGCAGATCAACTCTGCATGATGAAGATGTCTGCAAACAAGACATGAAGGCTGGCAACATCAACCCCACTGTGTGGGAATCCCTTGCAGATGACCACAGTACCGAAGACAAACAGACAGGTCATGTATCCACAGCAGTGATCAGATGAGAAATGACTGCTGGGAGAAGCCCAGAGAGAAGAAACACTGTGGTACATCTGCATCAGTACAACTGGATGCCTTCATCTGCCCCAGCTGCAACAAGACATGTCTCTCCCATATCCGTCTCAACAGCCACAGCAGGCGCTGTAACTCTCCAACCGTTTGACTTACTTCACCTCCAAAGGCACACTCCTCCATTGTCTCCTAAGACAGATGGATGCCAACAATTTATACCTAATTTTCATAGAAACTGTAAGAGGCTTACAAATCCACAGCACAAAAGCAAATAGCAAAACCAAAAATAAAATCCCCATTAGAATCACTAACAAATCACAAATATTCACACCAAGGTCAGGATGAACTAATTCACAGGTGTCATAACTCCCACTTCATCTATCTGTTTGTCTCGTCTATTGAACTTACTTGTCTTCCAGCCATCACAGAGTCTCTTGGGGCAATCATTTTAGTATTTATTTTTGGAGTTGCTTGAAGAGCCTGTTTGGCTAAAGGATAAAGTCTAAATGCTGTCAGCAATAAATAAATAAAGTATGTGGTGGGGCAATCTTTTGTTTTATCTTATTTGGTAGGATTTTATTGGCTCACTGATTCAAATCTTACATAGAAACAAAACCACAAAACATTGTTTCCTATTTGTTTGCTTCAATTCTCTCTCTCTCTCTCTCTCTCTCTCTCTCTCTCTCCATTTTCCAAGTTTTCTTCCAATGGGATGCTTTCCATATTCCGAACCTGCTGTAGGTATTATTTAGGGAGGTTATGATATATTCTGTATTTTCTGTTATTTTCTTACTTATCCTTAACAGTCTGTTTTGCCAGCTCTTTCTCCTTACTATGACTAAGAGCATTTCATACTCAAATTATCCATCACATTTAATGCTGTTAACTTTCCAGTGCAGACTATGCAACCCATAGAAAAGTACAAAAAACCCTTCCGGGATCTCTTGGCATCACAACAGTAGTCATGGCTGATATTTCTCCTCCCAGCTCAGGGCACCTCAACCATGTGATTGCTTAAAACGTCTTAAGTCATGAATGACAAGTCTGATTTACAGGTGAGACAAATCCTCATTGTCTCTCCACTTCTCAGGCACTGTGCTCTGGAAGCCTGGCGAATGGGATTGATTTGTTTCTCGTCTGCAGGCAGGATAAGAGGAGGGAATTTTAATTATGTGAGACAAGTGCCAATTGGCTTTTGGTGCAGGTGCAAATGGATTCTGAACTGGCTGAGGGTTGATCTACATGTTCAACAAAATCATATAGGCAATTCTTGGAGCGGTATGGGTGAGAGATTACATCTTTGAATGATTACTGATGTTTGTGTGTGTTAAAAAATATCTGTAAATGGAAAACTAGGGACAAGCTGTTCTCAGTGGATCTAAAGATGGACTTGTCTCCAGAAGATCTTAATACAAAATCCCACCTCTGCTACAAACAAATAACGATTGGTCTCAGGCCTTATTCTTGGCTTACCAGGAGCTATTGTTGCAGTCCAGCATGGCTGTGGGGAAGGACACGGAGCGTCAGGAATCTTCTGCCCCACTTTGTTGCCAGGCAGAGGACAGAGTACATGGGGGGAGCTGGAAGCCCATCAATTTCCCTACTGGGCTCCCAGCGGGTGGGGCTCCTGGAACAAACCAGAGAGAAGACTTCAGGTACCTGGTCCACTCCCGGATTATAAATGCAGGACTCACCTGTAGGCGTTCCATCAGCAATCCCTGCTGTTGAAAGGCAGCCTCTTTACAAAAATGGTATCAAGGTTTTGTATGTTTCAATTGTACTCCTAACCATCTGTACAGACAAAGTATAGGGCACCATCAGACCCTCCTGGATGGTACTTATAAGTTACACAGAACTACTGTAGACTGGGGGGGGGGGTGGAGGGAGAGAGAATAACATAATTTTGCCCTTAATACTGTTGATGTGTTCTGCGCTGGGAAAATGGGTTGGGAAGCCTGTTGGTGGTTGTGTGTTCTAAATACACCTCTGACATTTATTTTAATGACAAAGTTAAATAGGAAAACTGGATTTGTTTATTTTATTTTTGATTTGGGTCCCATCCCCCCCATTTTGACCCAGGTTGGTTTTTATGACCATGGGACCACTGAAATGAAGATGGTGGAGGAGAGAGAGAGAGAGAGAGAGAGAACCTGGGTCCCCATAAATAGAATCAAACAGGTTGTTTGCTGACTTGCCAGCAGATGGTTGCTCAGTGCCTGATCAACACCCACTAGTTCTGAGCAGCAGGTCAGGGGACACAGATGCTATCCTGTGACTTCTGTCACAGCTCAGCCCAGGGACAAGTGGAGTACTGGAAGTTCAGAGTCAGGACAGAATGTCCTAGTCTTTCATAGGGTTGCCATATTTCAAACAATGAAAATCCAGACAAAAAAGTTGTTGAGCTTTTCTTAGTTTTGCCCAAAGCTTTATTCTTCATGAAGAATAATACCATTTTTGAGCTAGTTTTATTGGAGGGGAAACCAGCAAAAACAGCGCTGCCAGCATGGGTTGCCATAAGTCTGGGTTTTCCTGGACATTTTTAACAATTTCTGTCTGGACACTGCAACTGACTGCAGTATTCTGAATATGTATGGCAACCCTAGTCTTTCACCCATCCATTTTTTTTCTCTCCTTCACCCATCCCAATTTACTTCTGTTTCCATGCTCACAAATGGGCAGGGTGACCACAGTGTTTAGATGTTCTGGAAACCTGGGAAAGAGCTGGTGCCCATTTCCTCAGTGTGATGCGAAGCTTTTTGCTCCAAGGCATCAGACTAGCTGCAGGTTAGAGCTTTAGGTTCTGTTAATGTGGTTCCTTGTAGGTTTGTTTGTAAAGCAAGGAGGTCCACCTCAACAAGTTATTTAATAATTTAATTATTAAATCAGAACTCCAGCATATGTGAAAAGCGTGCAGGTTTTTTTCCTGTCCTCCACCTGCATTCTGAAGTGATGCACTCCAGACAGGCCTGTTTCGTGTGAGTATCCTGCATATCTGTACTGCCTGTGGTGAATCACTAGGGAATAATGATGGGTGGAGTTCTCAGTTCCATAGGAAATACAGTGACTTTTGGCTGAGTCCAGATAGTGAGCATGTCTGATGCAAACAAACACCACAGAATTACTTGGTTGTGAAGACAGGGCTTATTATCACAGAACAGCAGTGCTATAAACTTGATTTTAATTTATTTATATTAAATGCATTTATCACCTGCCAGTAATTCCCTCAGTGACTTACAATATTAGGAACCATATAATAAACATACTAACAGTCAGAATTACAGCAGTAAAATATTTGAAACTTATATACTGATATAAGTTTAAAAACAGATAATACTGCCTCATGGCTTCTTCTAAAAAGCAATCCTGAACAAAAACAGGTTTCTAGAGGCCACCTGAACGCTATCCAAAAGAGAGCTGATTCTACAACTTGGGGGAGGAAGGTCTATAGCTTTGAAGGTCCATTTTCCTGTCAAGCAGGGTCTCTGAGGTGGATCTCAGATCCCCAGCAGGTTCGTAATGGATGTGGGGAACCTCAGCTCTGGAGGGCCAACGACAACCTCCCAGTCCACTCTGACTAGCCCTCGAGGGTCTTCCCAGGTCATCCCGCTCACCAGCTCTGTTTTACATTCTTCTCCTTGAGTGTTTTTGCCTGGCGGCAAGATGTCACTTTGATAATGCTGGCCTCATCTGGATGGAGAGGACTGTGCGAGTGTGTGTGAAAACAAAGGTGAAATGTGCATGTGTTACTCTGCCCACCTTTGCCTCTGGGGCATGCATTCAGCCCCTGTCAGCATCCAGGCTGCAGCTACCAGATCATCTTCAGAGGCAGCCCCACCATGTGTGTTGCAGTAAGTCCAGTATGAATGTAACCAGGGCATGAATCACTGTAGCAACTGAACAAGCACCTCAATGAGAAATAGTTTTTGAGGGATTGGTCACTAGCAATTTGCTCATGTAATGCTGAGTACCTACGACTGCCTATGAATAGGTTTGCTACCTGCCTGATTTTAAACTTGCCTGCCTGGTTATTTCATCTTCCCGTCAATGGAGATTTTAAAATCTGCAAATATTAAAATTTAAATCAATTGGCTTAGGCAAATGAACAGCGCCTGGGGGCTCAGTTCTTTAGGAGAGACAGGGACACTGGCTGTAAGTTGAATGATTGCTCTGCTCTAGCAAATGCTGAGGTTTAGAAAAGTCAAAGGAAAGCGAGAGTTCTTGTCTATTAAGAAAAA